AGGAATCCTGCTCGGCTGCAGGTCCTGTCTGTTAAATTTAAGCGTGACATTGTTTCAGATTTAAATGGCAGGGATTGGTTTAAACACACCCTTTAAATTCAGCTTTAAAAAAGACCTAATTTCTCAGATGCCTTCATCCGTATTTGGTTCAAAAACTTTATTTTCAAAGTAGGGGATCTTTTATTCAAAGAAAGGTAAACGTTACCTTAACAATAACTGACCGACTGAAAATAGCACGAATGAACCGATATGAAAGTTTGAGCCGATGTCAATATCTGGTATCCGATACCAACACTGCTGTTATTGTCAATAACCAGAAGTTTTAAAATGCCAACCCTAAAACTCACTATAGCACGCCGGTACCAACTCCTGTGCCAGAGAAGTAGCTACTGGTTGTCCTAAAGGTCACTAGAGGTCGAATGCATGGTGGGCAGATAATGAAGCTAATTTCTTTGACTGATGCAGGTTGTGTCCAATGTGAATTTGATGTAGTTTGCCGTAGTAACGCGCCCACAGCGGTTTTGTTCCTTTTAAAACAATGTTTTTGGCCCTTTTTTTTTTTTGTTTTTCCAACTCATTTTTAGAGTAATAATTAAATCTTTTTTTTTCAAAAAATTGGCCCGTTTAATTATTTGATTCATTAATAACAACTTATTTTTATTTTTACCTTTTATTAATTGGCATTTATGCCTCTCTAGCTCCAAAACAAAAGCCGGAAAAGGAAAATTTGGGGGGCCAGTTCGGGATATAGCTGAAGAGCTGAGCTTGTGTAATATTTTTTTTTTTTGTGATGGGTTTACGTTTGTTCCTTCTTACCGTCCTTGAACCTGCAGCACCAGGTTACAGCCGTAGGTGTCCAGATGGCACGGCGTGTTAGCCCCTTCTGTGCCAATCCACAGAGTGCTCTCCTTCCCGGTTCGTCCCTCAAAGCCAAACTCAGACCACTTTACATCCTGGAATAAACAGGAATCGTTTATTCCTTCTACAACAGTGTCCAGAGTATAACTAAAGTTTACTGAATTAATTTAGCCCATAATTATTTCAAAACTATAGAAACAGGGCTGATCTTGTCACCAGAGTTACAACCCCGCCATCTCATTGCTTATTTATAACCTTACACCATCAGCCGCAGTGACAGAGCACACATACGGAAACAAATGAAGTTGTCCAAGCAGAAAAAGTAAACTTAAGATTGGTAATTGTTTCTAGGAAAACTGCCTCGTCAGTTACTTACTACCAAAGCAAAAGTATTAAATCCCACAAGGTCCCAGAATAATGAAGTCATTATTCTGTATGAAAGCAGCTGGAAATGACAGACTGATCAATTTAGCCTTGAGGAAGCCTTCCTCCCTGCACCGTGACTCTCTGCTCGTCTCATAGCCATAAATGTCAGTAGATAATAATTGCAGGTGGATGCCCTGTAAGAGTTTATCACACAGACTAAAAAAAAATTATAAATTCCAGACCATTGCTAAAAAAACAAAAAAAAAACAAACAAAAGTGACACTTATGTGATTCTTGAGCAGAGGATGAGTCAGTTAGTTAATAAAAAGCTGCTGGTGCTCGGGGACAAACGTAAAATGTCAAACAAGAAGCTCAAATTAAATGAAAGACGGGAACTGCTATTCTGGCTTTTAACACAACGCTTAATATTTGAACATTTCAATCTCTTCCACTAAGTTTGGCAGGCTGAAGTGAGCAGCATATTTTTATTTATTATTATATTAAATTAAATTATGAGTTAAGATATCTAAGGAGTGTGCAAAGGAGTGGAGACTAAGCTATAAAAAAATAAATGTAACCTTTAAATTAAGAATATTTATTGAGTACATTTCTATGAAAAAAAGTCTGAAGACATTTTTGTTTTAGCCAAACTCACTGGTGGTGCAACTACTAGCATCCCAGCTGCTCATCTTCCTGTTGCTCATAGGACGGGACTTAGTCTTCTTCTGTAACGTTTCACAGAGAATACATGGAGAGACCGAGAACCATTCCTTTTATTTTTTGGACAGGATCATTCAGAGATTTGGGATTTAAGTTCTGCTCCTTTCAGTGCACCCAAATGTTTTTTTTAGGATTTAGGCCAGGGGACAGAAATGGCTGTGCTTTTGTCTGGTGATCCATTTCAGAATTGATTTGGCCACATGCTTTGAAACATTATCCTGCTGAAAGTTGCAATAACAAGCTGTTTTCTATTTACTGGTTGAGTCCACCAGATTTTTTTCATTAAAATCTCAGGGTGTTCCAAAGAATTCATGGCGATTCTATCACAAATATCCAACAGCGTCCAAATGCCCAAGGGAAACAAAAAGTGGGGCAGGACGGTTACCTCAAACATGGAAGGCTGATCGTGAAACAGCGTGGTGATGTACTTGTAGTCAGCATAAGCCCAGTACTCTGAGCAGGGGTATTCAGAGAAAGACCCCACATCGGTCTGATGCTGAGTCCAGCGCAGGAACTGAGCCACGTTGGCCTCGATGTACGAACACTGAGTCTCAAACAGAGGAGCTGCAGAGAGGGAGGAAGAAACAAGAGCGTTTGGATGAACTTCAGTTCTGTTCATAATCCCTTTGCTTTAAAACATTTTAAATTAATTATATAAACAAACAAAACAGACAAACAAAAAAACCTGCAACACATTTTTATAAGCCCTTCAATCTTTTTTCAGTACTTTCGAATGGTTTTCTTTCCATCTGCATTTGAAACCTCAATTCATAAACAGCTTTAACCTGGTGAGAGCCAGAGGAGACTCACTGTAGCTTGAGGTCCAATTTCTTGCTAAACATGGATTTTAGATGATTTATTACTGAGGAGCGACGCCTTCCCTCTGAAGGGATCCATCATCCGTTCTTACCGTTTGTTGCCTCTTTCCTTCCGAGTCTGAATCGGATCAGCCTGTCTTGGAGGCAGCCTGACAGATGCTGTGCAGTCCAGTGCAGGACAGGCCAGCCCTGGGTCATGTTCAGGAAAACTGCAGGATGCTGCAAATGATCCAAAATCCATCTGGTCTCCTCTGGGCTGAAGGGTTTAATGGGGGTCACGGCAGCCATTGCCTGGGGGTCCACGCTGTTCACAGGTTGCAGCAAGGGAATAAGATACGGTATTAGCAGAGTCAGCGTTTAATATTTGTGCCAAGCACAGATGGCATGCAGAAGGATATATATATATATATATATATATATATATATATATATATATATATATATATATATATATATATATATCTTAGGTGATAAAACTTTGTATTTATCACCTAAGATGAAGTAGCTTTCAACAAATAAGCAATTTCCCCCTTCGGGATCAATAAAGTATATTCTATTCTATTCTATTCTATTCTATTCTATTCTATTCTATTCTATTCTATGTCTTCTTTTTGAGGCATACAGCAAGTGGAAAATTAAAGGAAGCAATGATAATTTGACTCATTATGAGATCATAATATATTCTGTAAAATGTATCTCTATGTTTCCAATCTATTTTATTTGGACTACTAATAAATTTACTTGACTTTTGAATCCGATGATAAACAGACTGGTCTTGGTTTATTAAATGCAGTTTTCAGTCATTTGGATGTCATTGATTTGTTAGGTCTTTGCCCTCATTTGTTCTTTGCATTTTTAATCTCTACTTACAACTATTTTACAAGCATAAAATAGAAAAATTTGTAATTCCTGCCCTGGTCTTTCTGTTTAAAAACTTTGCATAACACTATTAATATTCTTTTTGGTTCTTCTTCCTCTTTGGGTTAATTGACTCTTAACCTCAGATAAACTAAAATAATTCAGAAAACCCAGCTGCTGGTAGATATACTTTACTGTAAAATAACCTAATTTCCTAACCTAAAACTACAAGTACAATATAAGAAATGCCTTTAAATCATCCTCTTTTAAATAAAAAGCAAAACCACCATCTGGTGTGCATCACCCAACAGTCAGCCATTTTTAGTATCCAAAACGTTGGGTGCGAAATTATCAAAAGAAATCTCTGAAATTAGAGCAAAGACGAAAGATGACATTAATCCTGTATGACCACAAAACCTTTACATGAACTGTCAAGCAGAGTGGTGGGGGTGTGGTGATGTGTTTGTTAGCAACAAAAAGCAGTCATCTTAACGCCTGTCTTGAGTAAAAAAAATAATCTTCTGCATATTCATTCTATTTCTGTAATACATTGTAAGAAGATCTGAAGAAAATTTGTTCGGATAACTTGTTGATTTTTTTTTTTTTTTTAATTAAATGGTACTATTTAATCGCACCCTTGTTTGGTTTGACCACAATAACTGCCAGGTTAGTCATTTTGTATCCGTTTTGCACGTCGTTCCTGTTTAATGATTTTTTGTTTGTTTGTTTTCTGAGACGTGTTGGATGTATTTTGAAAGCAATTTCCCCCCCAAAAAACTATTGAAATTGAATCTTGCTGGGAAGCTAAAGCTAAATTTGAACTTCCGCATTGAATGCTAATGAACTATAATGAGACAACAGCGGGAATCCTACAACTTATTAACATTACCTTTTGCTTTTAGCATACTTCAATAATTAAGATGATGTCTATTCTAATTGCAAACAAAATACCAGCTGAACGGGGCTGTACATTTATTGGAAAATAAAAATGGAACTAATGATGTTAGCTGCCTTATGTTTGTTTGTAAGCATAGATTCATATTTTCCTTTTAACGGTGAAAATATCCAAGTGAAATCAGCTCCAGCTAGCTTCGTGGAGACGTCTGTTTCTATGGAAAAGCAACACTCACCTATCCCTACACGTGCAGAGGAACTTCTGGCGGATATAAACAAAACTCACATGACACAGCGAGCTCTCAATTTACGTTTGGCTCTTGTAACTGCTCCATTTTGGCTCTTTTTTGGCTGCAACATGCTCAGTAAAGCTCGCGCGTAAGCAGGGCCGTAATGGCGGCGGTAGCACACCAGTTTCCCCCACCGCAAACTATTTCCGTTTGGACATGCGCAGTGGAGCAGTTTCGCAAAAAAAAAAAAAAAAAAAAAAAAAAAAGGGGGGGGGGGGCTGTCGGGTTGTCTGTTATTATTTTTGTACACGACAATAGCTGAGCAGCTCTTCTGTTGTCCCTCAAACACAGACGTAAAAATTAGCTTTCGGACTACACTGACAACCGAGCGGCTACTATGGGTGCCGCTTCGAGCACCGAGGCAGAAAGGGAGCCGCTTCTTGCTCCGACTTCCGCTGGGACTACTAACAGCCAGCCTGTAAACAGCCGGGTCTATGGCAGAAGATGGCTGGTTTTGACCCTGTTTTCCCTGCTGGCGCTCATGCAAGGGATGGTCTGGAACTTCTGGGGACCCATTCAGAACTCGGCTGTAAAGGCTTACGGGTTCACCAAGTCTGACATCGCAGTTTTGGTTCTGTGGGGCCCGGTTGGGTTCTTTCCCTGGTTGCTGTTTATGTGGTTAATGGACAAAAAAGGTGAGTTGTTCTAATTTGGTACAACGTGTCCTGTCTAGATATTATGTTATCGAAGTTTCGATAATGAAAACTCTCAAGAATTTGGGTGATGAAAATCAGACATCGCAGCGTTTTAAAGACCACATGATTATTACCTACTGCCACCGTTTTTTTTATTTTTTTATTAAGGTATGAATACATTTGCTTAGTCTTTGTATGAGTATTGGTAGCTTTGAACAAAATTTTGAAAAAAAAAAAAACTTTGCTAATTTTAAAAAAATGATTTCACTCAGTTGTTCAAAGATCTGATCAAAGTTAAATACTAAAAATAAAATAATATATATATATTTTTTCTCCCCTACACTTTAAAATAATCTTGCATTGTAAAATAATCAATTTCAGGTTTAGCCACTCTAGACATTTTAGATTTCTAGAGTGTTTTGCTTGTAAACAAAAATGTGACACAGTCTTTCGATGTGGCATTGAATTACAAACTGTAAATAAGATGGCATCTTTAGACACTTTGGTGTGCACTTGTATTTTCTTACAGTGTATAAACTGTACATTAGTGAGGGGGTGTCCATTTTCCATTGACAGGACATGTAAATAAGCAAGATAAGTCTTTGTTTGCGGCCCCCTAAAACTGTGCTGCCCTGGGTAAAGAGCCTATGTCAAAACTGTAATTTGTACAAATGATAAATTAATTATGCCATGGTTCCCTTCGGTAAGTTTACAGCTGAAGTTGGGGCCATCTGAACATAAACACTATTAGAACATGTTTGCATTTTAAAACTTCAGTCATCACTGACATCAGCATTGAGAAATTCCTGAATATTTTGGGAAGCGCTTTCGATTTATTATGAGGAAGTGGAAGAACCCAACTTAAGCCTCTGAGTCAGAGTGGGCCCCACCTAACCAGTTCACACTGCATCACCTGACACAAAGTGTGTAATATCCTCCACACTGAGTTAGTAAGTAGTTTTGTCTGACAAAGTGCTGCATTTCATTATCCTGATTGCAAACATGCAAAAACCTGAGCCGAATAATTCTGACAGTCTTGTGATCCTGATTCATCATCAGAACTTTGGCGCAGATAAAAACAGAACTCCCAAAGTTTTTTTCAGTCTGCATTTCTCCTTCTTTACATAAATGTTAGGAAATTAATAACAGTGAGTCAATGTGAAGCTGCTCTCACAGACTAATGAAACCTAAAAAAAATAAAAAAAATAAGAACAAGATGTCCTGTTTTCTCAAATTGCGTTGTCACATGGTCTGATTTGGTTTACAAGAGCGGTCGCTACAGGTTTAAGCCTTGTCTGCCTTCATGGATATCTGTGCTGCATACATGCACATGTTGACATCCACATGCAGAGACACGAATCAGTGGGGGAAAGGCTTTCGCTCCCTGCTGAGAGCTCCTGCTTACTCGGAGGTAGAAACTGCTTGTGAACAACCAGGCAGGTGTCGCCATTTAAAGAGAAATCCAGTCGCAGAAGCGTCGGCGTTACAAAAGATGCTTTGACGGTATAATTATTTGGTGATGGAGACTACTTTCCAAAATTCTGATCCCAACATTTTACTTGTGTAATGTTATTAGCATTTCACAGTCTTCTCTGAAGCACATGTTGGCTATAAAACCGTTTTCTATCTGCCGATAACTGTTGCTCACGGTCTTTCATTCAGTTTTAGATCAGAGTACGTCTGCCGGTTTTATTAGAAGAGTTTCATATAAAAGACTGGTCACTGTGGATGAAGGATTTTTATCTTTAATCTCTGGGCAGAAACACTTTACTACAGACCGAGTCAGAAAATCAGAATATTATTGAAAAGCCCATTTATTTTAGAGACTGTACAGCTATTACGTAGACACAGATGGATGTTTGAAAGCTTTTATTTCTGTTAATTATGATAATTTTCCACTTACAGGTAATTGAAAACATGACATTTAACATTAGAATATTACAGCACTCTAACTACTTTTACAAACAGAAATATTAATGAAAAGTATGTTAATTCTTGCTTAAAGGTGCTCTCCATGATTTCTATAAGTGATGTTTTTGAGAAGTTTGATTTATAAAACTAATTTAAAAAGTTGAGAGAGGAGCAACTAAAATATTGTGAAGCATTAAAAAAATATATATTTCTGATAGCCTACATTAAAAATCAATTATTTTCTAGAATTTAAAATTCTTGACCTCACTACACTTAAGTGGTGATGAAGGGAGGAAGTGGAAGTAACCGTGGTTACCTGTTAACATGGAATCAGTCAGATGATGACGGTGCAGCAGCCTCTCAAAATATCTGCTTCTGCAAACATTTGTAAAGAGGAACGATGAAAGCCTTAAGCAATAATGCAATGTAAGTTTTTAAATGATTATTTTCATTTTTGGATGTGCTGACATTTGGTTCCCGATAAATCTTTTATTTATTTATTTATTTATTTAGTTCTGGCTGCAAAACTCAATCATATTGAATTTTAATTACACTTAATGAAAAAACAAAACAAATTTCTTTCATCTGAAAAGGTGAAATGGTTGGTTTTGAAGTGTATGCATATTATGGCTTCCCCTTAAAATTAATGACTTTTTTTTTCTTTCTTTTTTGGATGAAATGTATCTTATTTGAAGCTTTTTCTCACAAGAAACATCTTGACAAGATCTTTAGCTAGTTTTTTAGTCATAACTTTCTTGACTTGTAATTGAACCCCAGACAGCAAACAGCCTTTGACCAACTTCTACACCACGTCTAATGAGATAAAGCTTTATGGGTCACTATATCAGCTTACAGTGTGCAATACTGTACACTGTAGCTGGTCTACTGACCCACATAAGGAGCAGAGAATAATGCTGCAGATTGGTTTCTAAGTATTGGTCGATTGTCAATCTTACAAAATTATCACTCCCACTCTGCATTTGTCCATGCAGTAACCGCATCCACAAAAAAATTTTGAACAACTAAACAAAAAAATTAAAACGGTGCTGCAGGAATTTGTGTCAAGAATGAGTCCCAAGCCAGGTCTGTGAGAGTAGAACAATTTCATTTCAACCTCACAACACAGCATGTCGCAAAAATACTGGCATCTGATAATCAGTGGGCTCAAATATGTAATTACACACATATGCAGTGTGTATGCAGTGTTTGTTGGATATTACTTTCAGGTGTCAGAAATGCATTTCGATTCTCTTGACGGCTATAATTCATTACCGTTTTGGACAGTGTTCACTGGAGCAGATGCCCACATTTGGCACGGTTGACCGTACTCTACCTGCTGAGGTCACAGAGGACACTGGCAGCACCGTAACATCTAATGTAGCATCTACACCAGTTCAAACATGGCAAACAACGTAAAGTATAAAACAGAATGCACATTAGAGAAAGCACAAAAATTGAGTCGTGATCACTGAATTAGCTAGGCGCTCCTGCTGGAAGTCAAATGGGAGGCTAAACTTTAAAACAGCTGCAGCTTTTACAAAACCTGCTGCAGGACAGTGTTCCAAGGCAGGCTGCAAATGTGCAACACAGAGGCTGAAACACAAAGGAATCAAGTTGTTGCACAGATCCAGAAGATAAAGCAACGCGCCCGGTAGAAAAGTGAAGTAACGTTGAGAAGAGGTGCAGATCAGAACTGAAGCCCCTATTTACTAGTTAATGATTATCCAGCTTATCTGACCCCTTCTGTTTTATTACAGGCTGTTAACCAGAGATCTAGGAAATTATGGTTCACTTCGAAATAGGCCAACTATAATGTGTAGCTTAAATATCCTCAAGGCTAAGAGTGACAAACTTTCTCAAAGCTTTATTCATGGTATTGATGTAACTCAGGCAATCTTAGATACCAAGAGTTTTTTTGTTGATGTACATGAAATGTTCAGGTGATAAAATTGTGAGGCCTCACTGTTCTATAAGTCTGACATACAGACTTTCACTTTTGTTGAAACTCATTTTAAAAAAAGGAAAAACTGCAGCCATTGTTTTTCGTCCAACTTTAGTTAGGGTTGGCATTATTCAGTGCCTTTAAATTAATCATACTGCGCTATCTTTTTGCATTTTGTCCCAATTTATCCACAGACTTCAAAGCACTTTGTTGAGATTTTGTGTGATAAACACAAAGAGATTCATAATTTTGAAGCAACAAGAAAAAAAGTTGTATTTTTGTTTCTTTTCACAAAGAAAGATGTGAAAATTGTTTGTATTTAGCAAATCTTTCTGCATATTCTCAATTAGATTGAGATCTAGACTTTGACTGGGTCATTCTACAACATTGAACAGTTCAAGGAGGTATGAATACATTTACTCGGCATTGCAATCTGTAAGTAAGAATAGGTGAAATAATAAATGAAAACCTGAAACGTAGGAAAGTGGTTTTTCTATATTTAACCAGTTTTTCTGACTGATTGAACTAAAAGTCTGATCTCGCGCTACAGGAAGTGAGGAATGCTTTCATAGGTTGCAGCAGAATCATGTGACACAGAAATGTGGATCAGGACAAATTGTGAACGCGGTGTCGTCGTAAAATAAACCTCTCTCACTCGTTTTAGTTGCAGCCAGTTCTTCATGTCTATTCGTCATCTTTCTTTCCTGTCCAGGATTACGGGCTTCCCTCCTGCTCTCGGCCTTCTTCATGCTGCTGGGATCGGCCATGCGAAGCATCCCGCTGACGGACCTGCACCTCAGACGGTGGTAAGAGTCCTGCATGCATTATGGAAGCAGATGGTCGTAGAGGGCAAACGTGACGCTGCGGGTGAAAACGAGGCACGGAGCGACTTGCAAACTGCAGTGCGGTCATTTTGTTGGAACTAGATGCATTTGACATATTTTCATGGCTAAGCTGAAAATATGACGGAAAAAGAGACCAGCATGGCAAAGTTAGGTCCTCTTCTTGTCTGATGAGTCTGATAGTAATTCAAATTAGGAATTATAGGCATTTATGCTAAATTAACTTTCTAATTTAATTTAAAGCACAAAATCTGAACATGAACCCATTAGGTCACATACGTCTGATTTGTTCTTTTATGTTAATGTACAGTAATCATGTCTGTCAGTACTTCCATCGATTGCTATCCTAAGTTAAGTAGGCGAGGTCAGAAGAGGTTTAGAGCGATTTGTCTCTTTATTCTCCCTTCCAGGAAGGATAAAGTGTGGACTCTTCCAAACTCACTCATCTGACTCAATGGCTCTTAAGTTGTTTTTGTTATTTTTTTTGCAACAGTATCACTAGGCAACACTAGGCAAAATGTTGCAAAATGTAATATGTTGCAATGGAAAAATTTAAATTTTTCCATTAAAATTCTTGGTACTAAATTTGATGGGTACAATAAAAGCACAGCGACAGAGAGACTTTAAGCCAAAGAACATTTCTAATTCTCAACATGTTCTCATCAATTTGTGAAATTTTGCCAACTTGGGTCAAGTACAGTTAGCATTGAATTAATCACACTGAAATTAAACTTCCGGTTAGAAATAACAGCTGCAGCGAATAATGATATATTTTTTTTTACAGTTCTGAAGTTATGTTTGTTTGTTGTTTTTTACCTAAAGATGATCGAGCTGGAGTACAGCACACAGCTTCTGTTATTGCAGCCAGAAGCTAATCGGGTCTGAAATCTGACCTGAACATTCAGAACCATATAAAGGCGATTATAAAGTCGGCCTTCTATCACCTGAAGGACATTTCCAGGATTAGAAGACTAATGTCTCGGCGAGATCTAAAGAAACTCCTCCATGTGTTTATCTTCAGTCCCATTGATTACTGCAGCAGCGTCTGCACAACTCAGTCAGGGAAAATGCTTCTGTTAGTCTATAAATCACTGACCAGCTTAGCACCAACATACATTACAGATCTGTTGTGGTTCTATCAACCTTCCAGACCTCTCAGGTCTTCTGGTTCTGCTCTGCATCTCCAGAACCAAAACCAAACTCGGAGAAGCAGTATTCAGCTTCTATGCACCACAAATCTGGAACAAACTTCCAGAAAACTACAAAACCCTGAGTTCCTTTAAATCTAGGCTGGAACCCACATCGATCATCATATTTGATGTATATTTACTTGATGATTTGGATGTTGGCGTTTGACTAAATGCAATGTTTATTGCTTGTTTCGTAATTGGTGACAACGTGATGTTTTTATGATGTAAAGAACTTTGAGCCGCCTTGTTGCTGAAATGTGCAAATGTCCAAATTTGATTTGATTTGAGCTTCAGCAAACCGTGATAGTCGCAAAACGTCAGCAAACAAGCTAAGCAGGAAAACCACATTTCCTTGATGAACAACGTACAGCAGAGTGCTTGAAGCTTCTCCGTTAGCCAATCAGCAACCGGCAGTCTTCTGATGTTGCGTTTCCAGTTTGACTTTAGTGTGGACCAGTCAGTACTAAAGTCGTTTCTGGTAACTTGTACCAGTATCTACTGGGAAACCTATAAAGTGAGCAGAGTCGGCTGTTCCTTTTTGGATGTGGAATGGATTACCAGTAGGGCTTCATGATACTGGAGAGTCTAGCAATGGTTAATACTGGTAACTATTTCGATGCCAACATCAATCACCGTATGTTCCCCATTTTCCTCTGTTTTTCATCTGTGAATCCTTCACTCTCTGACCTTTAGCATTCTGGGTAATATCATTTTTTTCCGCTGCTGTTGTGGAACTCTAACCAACGGACTCAATGTTGCATGAAAAATGCAAGTTTATAACCCTTGGAATAGATCATAAAATAATTGCTGCACACAAACAAACCTTTGCGATACAAACATTGCACACAGTGATACTGTAGCGTAGATATGATATATTGTTACATACCACTGTAATTTAGAAAAGGCTTTTCTCTGTTTTTAAACCACTTCTCAAATCTTTTGTTCGGGTCTTTGATGCTAATCTCACTCTTTTTCTGTCTTGTTTTATCTTTAGTTTCCTCTTACACTAGTCTTATGTATTTCCTTCTGTGTGTTTACTGCACTTTGGTCCTCTGGTGTTTAACGTGTTATAAATAAAGCCGGGGTTGGTACTAATTAGGTGTTGAATTATCCCTGCTATGCTGTCAGTGAATAGGATTTTAGTGGTAACTTAATTTTAAATGGTATTTCACATATTGCGTTTTTCATCTTATGAATTAATATTTTGTTAACATATCCCGGCCAAACTTTTCATTTGGTGTTCCTCAATGTAGAGAAATGCAGCCGCAACTTGACTCTGAAAGCAAACTGCTTGTCTCTTAAGCACAACTCTCCTTCCATATAAGATGGAAAAAAAACAACAGAAACAAACTTTTTATTTCATTTTTTTTGTCGTCTTTGTTAGCTCAAGGCTTCTCTTTCGCAGAACACAAGTTCTCCGAAAAGTTCATTTTGATTATTAAGCTGTTTCAAGAATGCATTTTCATTGCGTGGATAATTTCCTTTGGGCTCTACCAGGAGGCAGGATATCCCAAATGAAGCCTGCAGAAAATAGTTTCTGTTAAATGAGTCATATCAGTTATAAAATCTGTCCTATTAAGCACTAACAAATAATATCTCACTTTGTGTCTCATTGGGAATTTGGAAAGAAAGCGGTTAATGAAGGTATTTGCTGTGTAAAAAATAGCTCATTTCAGCGCCACTCGATATAAAAATATTGTTTGTAATAAATTCTTTAAAAGAAACATTTAAAATGCAGTAACTCAGGTGACATTTCAATGTAAATATATTTATTTTTATATATTAAATTAATATTTATTTGTCGGATTATACTGTTTATTGACATGTTGACAGGCGTATCTGTTATATATGCTTAAAATAAAAATAATTCTTCACAAAATGAAACCTTTTCCTCGTCAGACTGTTTTACATCAACTGTATCTTCAGTCAGAAGCTTGTTGAGTTTCCCTGTGATACAGACTGCTACAGCTGCTCACAGCCACTGCCATCTACAAGAACTCCTTTAAGAATCTTCAATAATTAGCTACCAAAGCATTTACCTGAAGTATTTTTAATTAAATTGAATTAAATTGAGAATAAGCAGGCCAAAGGTATTTTCATTACTGCACCTGCACCATAAAACCCCCTCAGAAAACTATCAAGAAATGTAACAATGCTCTACTTTTCTCACAGAGATTGGAGTGGAACAGCTCAACCTTTTTCTGCTCACATGTTTTTTAAACTCTGAAACCGAAGTGGATGACTTATAAAGAGGAAATGAATTGTGTAGAAACCGTGCTCAGCCAGCCCGTTCTCCTTTCGAATGCACGCAGAGCTGGATCTTCACAAAATCTCAACACAAGCTAAAACTTTTTATTTTTTCCTTCGTCTTCAGCGCAGCTTGCCTACGTCTCACCTTATCTGAGTCCAGCTACACAACACCATACATCATCCGTTGGCATCTGACGAGCCGAGGCTCAATAGCGCGCAGTCACGGCCGCCTGCTGTTTCCTTTGGCAGGAGTTGCCCTGCGCATCCGTGACCTTCAGCTCTTTTGGAGTTTTCCTTCAAAGGGGAAAAACAAGAAAGCCCGGTGAAAGCCGAGATAACATTAATCACACCGCAAATGTTAGCGTGACACGGTTCAGTTTCATTTGCATAATAAATGTAATAGGTCAGAGCCTGTGAAGCCATGTTTTAATGGATGACCTTCTGCATTCTCGGAGGGAAAAAGAAAAGCCAGAGTGTGCTGCAGCGCCACGGACCACCAGCAGGTGTCAGTCTTTCCCTTGCATTAGCATTAGCGGGAATTCGTCTTTGCTTTGTTGTGTCGCTGTGGAGTCTACTTCCTCTCCTGTAGCCGCCACTTATTTTGTATCAGACATATGGAGCTGAAATGACTTTGATTATGTGATGGAGGGGAAAAATAGGCATTAAACATTCAAATAGCTGAAACTGGCTGGCCTACAAATTGTGAATGAGTTTTAAATCAAGGGCGTTACATGATCAGTCGAATCCCAGCAGGGACTTTTCCCGTTTCTGTGATCAGTGTTGTAGTTTAGAAACAGTAACGTTCCCTCAAACCCCCCGCCCTCCTGCAGCTCTGTTTGTTCCAGACATCTTTTCATGTTTGATAGACTAGGGCCTTCTCTTTGTGATTTACCTTTTAATTTGCCTCTTTGTTTCATGTTTATAGGATTGTTTTTAGGGAATCAAAGGAAGGACGCTGACCGGTCTGACTTCCTTTCTCTCTTGTGTGTGTGTGTGTGTGTGTGTGTGTGTGTGTGTGTGTGTGTGTGTGTGTGCGCGCGTGCGTGCGTGTGCTGAGCTGCTTAAAATGATCTTTGATAACCAGGCTGAATGTTTTTTGAATTTCGAACAAGACTCAGGGTTTGCATCAGTGGTCACTGATTAGACCTCGCCGTGATCTGTTCTTACACTCAGATGAAAAAGGTCAGCCTTTTCTCTGCCTCCTTCGTCTGCAGACGTTCGCTCATTGTCTTGCCATTTCTGGTCTCGCTCCGTCTATCTGTCTGGCATTAACATACAGAACAGCTGTCTGATTAGTGTAAACCAGGTGGATTCCACTTCCTTTCACAGACTGTCTGATTGGCCGCCAGGCCCCTTTCCGCTGCTCTCGAAGGAGGCTCTTATATTACCCATGATTGCTGCGGTGATGTTTTCCGCAGGAGAATTGGGTTGGCCTTTTTTTTTTTTTTGTTCATTCGTTTTTTTTCTGAATTGTGTCCATAAGCTCTTGCGGACCAGAAGCAGTCGGGCCGATTTCGCAGCAGG